AATCCAGGAAGGAAAAGCATGTTTTGGAAAACATGTATGATTATGGAAGAAATTTCCCAATTATGTTCAAATTGATCGACCAATGCAGTGATGTGACATAGGTTTGGGGCTCTTACTAAATTCTAGCTCCAATTTAAGAACAATCCATTCTTATATTGTGGCTCTCCTCGATATTCATCTTCATGAAATGATCACTGAAAGTAAGGTGCTACAGCAAAGTGCAGTGAAGAAAGCAGATGATGCCCGTCTAGCAATCAGAATAGTGTCTGGAGTCTTAAAGGCTTGTATTCGAACAAGCAGCCATCTAAGCCAGGAGTCAACTAAGTCCAAATGAAAGAAGCATAGCTGTGCGATCCAAAGATGACAATAACAAAGTTGGAATATTGTGAGCAGAAAAACATCAGAGCAAAAATTATGAACACCCAATTTGTGGAATTCTCTGGGAGATGGTGGGACCCCCAAGCCCAATTGCAAAGTATCTAGTCAGACCGAGTCACTGGAAGATCTGCTTTAGCCACAGGCAAGAGTCTCAAACAGCTTTACTACCAGGCAGAGACCAATTTAATCTCGATTATGCTGAATTGAACTTGTACTTGGCCAGTAGACCACCCTATAGACACAATCTGAAGTTCTTCTGGGGGCAAGTATCTCTTACTGGTTCCGTGACAGAAATTTCTTCCCTGGGGTTTTGAATGTTTTGGGGGGGGTCTTTTCCTTCTTACACATTATTTGTATTTTTGTCTATATACCATTAGGTTTTTAACCTTACCACCTGAACGTGATTTTGTCTGTTATCGTTTTCAGTTGGGTCTCCTTGCTTTGATGCACAATGACAATAACTGATACAAGGGAATATAGGGAATTCAGGGGTGAGGGGTGGATGATCTGGAGGGGAAGGGGATTTCAGGAGTAAATAATGAAGATGAGAGTGGGAGGGAGCACTCAAGCACATTGTGATTGCATAACTCATCTTAAAGGCAATTTAACCATGGGCGGAGTGTCAGTGATTGTACAATTCTCCTTGATATGATTGAATGGTTGAACTATTCAATTATATGATATGTAAATTACTAGCCAATAAAACTGTTGAAAAATAAATTAACAAACATTTTTGGTGGGGGGAAGAATTTTGGTCTTGCAAACTCACAGGGACCATCTACCTGTCCTATAGGATCACAATAAGTCAGCATAGACTTGATGGCAATGAGTGTGGTTTGAAAAAGAACTGGCCAAACCAAACCAAAACCTCTGCCATTGAATTGATTGTGACTCATATCAATGTATACATATCAAGGTAGTGATATGTATGTGTGTGTATATGCACATATATATGTATATGTATTATTAAATAAAGGAAAAATGTGTCATTTAAAGATTTTTTTAAAAGAATAGCAAATAAAAAAATTAGAGGAGCCAAATCAGAACTGAAAGAAGGATACTTCATAATGTCTTACTGCAGTGCTTGCACAAACGTCCTTGCTTTATAAGGGGAATGAGCATTGGGGTACTGGAGGATTCTCTGGTGAACTTTCTAGGTGTTTTTTCTGATAAACGTTTGGCTACCTTTCTTAAATCCAAATCAAACTCACTGCTATTTAGTCAATAGCAACTCATAGAGACCGGATAGGACAGGGTAGAACGGCACTTGTGGGTTTTTGAAATTATGACTCCTTACAAGAGTAGAAAGCCTCCTCTTTCTCCTGAGAAGCAGCTGGTGATTAGAGTTCAGCATCTCAATGCATCACCACTACTAAAGTCAGCAAGCAAACGGTCTTGAGTGCCCTACAAACCATTGCCATGACCTTGGCTCTGGAGCAGTCCTCTTTGACTTGCCAGATTATCTTCCACCCCTTGGTAGCGTTGTCTTAATTATGTATTATCTTCAGGATATTACTAGTGAACTCATGCTTCATCTCATTAGACTTATTAAAAGAAGTGCCTTGAATTTTGATCCCCCTTGTTGGAAATGTCCATTGAAAGCTCTGCTCTTCCCTGTAGCTCAGTGGTTTCTCAACCTTCCTAAGGCCACGACCCTTTCATACAGTTGCTCATGTTGTGGTGATCCCCCAACCATAAAATTATTTTCATTTCTACTTCCTAACTGTAATTTTGCTACTGCTATGAATCGGACTACCCTTGTGAAAGGGTTGTTCAATCCCCAAAGGGTTCACGGCCCATAGGTTGAGAACCACTGCTGTAGTTAATCTGGGCACAACAGTTTTGCCTCTCATCAAACAGAAAGTTTGCTCATATTTAATTTTCAGTTGAAATTGTGCAAACTTAACCTAGTGATATACCTCTGATATTGGCTACTCTGCTGTTACTCTTCAATCCTTTTAACTAAGGTGGAAACAAGATTGTTTCCACACTAATGTGAATGGTCAACCACTGTAGTCTTCATCACCAATATGGCCACTTCTCTTCTTCAAAAAGGTATCCATTTGTAAATCCCTGCTGTCTTTGGGGCTTTATCCAAACTTTTTGTATGCATCAGTAGTTTCAACATCATTCTGCCCTAGCTTCACTATAAATTTGATGTTCGATCTTGCTTCAATTTTAGGAGAATTTATGTTGCGTGATCGAGGCTATTTTCAAATTCAGGTCTTAGTATTCCTAGTTCCTTAAAATAGATTTTTCCCCCAGACATGTTATGTTAGTTGAAATTTATTTAGTGCAGAAATATTTTAAATTCATGCATAGATTTTTTAATAATATAAGATTTTCCAAGAACTCTTTGAAGTTCTTAGAAGTAAACATGTCTATTTTTACATCCTGTAACAGCAGATGTATGGTTTTTGCATTTTCATCTCTTTGAAATCAACTTGTACCAGACAATGATGGCATCATAGACACAGTGAAACACGTAGCACACTAATACAGAGTCCACTGATGACCGTTTCCTCCCACATTGATCTTTTGAGAAGACAAATGATGAATGCTAGAAACAAACTCAGAAAATCAGTCCGAGACAACCATTATCTCACATCCTTTGGCCTCTCTTAAAACTTCAAGAGATTAAAAAAAAAAAGAGCTATTATTTTTAGTTCTGCCAACTAGCTTGGCTGACACCAGGCTTGATCAGATTCCAATGGGAATAAAGTTAAATATGGGGACTTAGAATATGCTCCTCAAGATTGAAAATTATCTTCTTTGGCGTGTGGTCTGGAAAGGAGTTAAATGAAAAAGAGTGTCTTTGGAATGTGACCACATATTGTGTGAGTGTGTATGTAATTGTTTGAGAATCAGTTATGACACACAGACACACAAGCCTGTCAGGTGGAAACTCCCATGCTCATCGGGAGAGGGGTGAAAGGGTTACTGTCTTTGTTAAAAAGATAATTCCACTTAGGAAGAACACTGCCTTTGTTCAGAAAATGGTTTCAAATGCTGCTTTTATAGAAGGCTAAAAGCTTGAGATTATGGCTAACAAGATCTACAAAACAAGTAGTTTGAATAAATATGAGGAGGAATTTGGAAGTTGAAGACTTTTTTGACTAAGGAAGACAAAATAGTGAGGTGTGTGATCTATAAACTTTAAAAAGCTGATGAAATTTCAAACTTAGTTCATTTCCTGCAGTACAATGTTACACGCCCCTTTATGTTGATCTTCTTCGATATATAAGCTCTATTTACACATTTATAATACATGAATGCTGCAGCTATGAATGGCATACATGCATGTATGTATGTATGTATGCATGCGTTGGGGATGTGGGGTGAGAGAGCTGATTTAAGGAAGAAGTATAAGTATAAGTATAAGCATATTTGGATCAACATCAGATTGGATATTTTATTACTCAGGGAAGTACAGTAATAAAAATGGGTGGAGTCTGTAGTGAATAGGATAAGGGACCCATTAGTGACTTGGGAAAAAAAATAACCTCACCTAAAGGAATTTTATCAGGTCTAGAATATTGTCTTGGAAGTAAGAATTCATGGAAATATTATAATTGTTCAAAATAATCCAAAATACGTGGGCACTTATGATTTTTTTTCTGATTTTTGTTTAACATTTTATTAGGGGCTCATACAACTGTCATCCCAATCCATACACACATCAATTGTGTAAAGCGCATTTGTACATCGTTGATTTTTTTCTGATTTTTGTTGACAATGTAATTTAACTACAAGTGTATATAGATTGTATAGGGTATTTGCATGCCAAATTCAGTTTCTAAGCTATAGCAAGTCTAGAACAAAGAATGAGAAGTCAATGGAGAGTGGAATTGATCATAAGAATTTAAGATCCCAGAGGATTTTGGGGGTGGGGTGGGGCGAGTGGGTACTTGGAATCTAGGAGAGGCTGCAGTAGAGTTGGAAGCTAATAAAGAACAACTCCAAAGAGCTATCCTGACTCACAGCTAATAGTGACACGTCATTGCCACCTCTTTCTGCTGGTGCTTCCATTTGCTGGTTTCCAGTGAAATCTTTTTGCAATCCTGTATTAAGCAGTTAAGTGGAGACGAGGGTCTGAAAGATAGTCCCTGCTGTCTACATGGACTGGAAGCACAATAGGAGTGTGGAACAAATTTTCCATCAGTAAATAAATTAACAATAGTATCATAAAAGTATACTTTTTTCAGCAAACAGTAGTTTTAGAAATCTGTAAAACATACTAATTTTGGTTCAGTGGGGTGACACGGGCACTTTTTGCTCCTTATATTATATTTTTGTGACAGTGTGTTAGTAAGCAATCACTTCTGTCAATCTCTGACAGAAAATGTGAGGTTTTGATTTTCCATCTCAGTAAGATCAGATGTGAGTGCATTAGATGAATGGCCCTGGCTTCTCAGAGAGTGCGAGGCCATATAAGTAATCGCTCTTCAGAAACCATGGTGACAGCAGAGGTGAGGCAAGTCTAAAATAAATGTCTTTAGAAATTTATCATTTTTAGGAACACTTTCTGCAGTGAAATGTACTTTAAAATTATAGAGTGAGTTTTAGAACTTTCAGATAATATCCTTATACAACGTACTTTTTTCTTTCTTTCTTTCTTTTTTCAGGGGAAAGCACGAATGCGATCCCCCACTACCACAAATGATGCAGTCAAGTTTCCTGCATTTGGGGAAATCGCAGGGGTCAGCACACCCCCAGTGCAATGGATGAGCCTCGCTCTGGAAAACCACCTTCTGGTGTCTCCCCCTGTCAGGGAAGTATTCATACAATGTACTTGCAATCATCATACAATATACTTATTTGGCTTAAAGGTTTTTTCTATTAGTAGGATCTCACCAAACTCCCCATCATCATTCATTAACCCATGGATATCAGTGGTACCTTGTTTTCTGGGAGTCCTGAATCTTAAGTGTGGTCTGTGAATAATTAAAATTTTATTAACACTGTTCAAGAAGAGAGGATTTGCATATGACTAATTTTGTTATTTTATCATAATATTAAAACACTACTAATAATATTCAAACCTAATTTATTCAGTTTTGGTGTTTTCAATATCCATTTACTCAGTGTGTAGATTATGTACTTCTTTGTTATTTTCTTTTCTATCCATCTATCTTTAAGGTCCCTGGGTAACAAATGGTTTGTGCTTACCTGCAAGCCTAAACGTTAAACTCACAAGGAATGTGACAGAAGAGAGACCCAACAATATGACTGTTTAAAGATGACATCCAAGAATAACCCCAAGGAGAAATTTTATTTTGTAACACATGGTATGCTTTGAGTCAAATAATTTGATTTAAAAAACCCGATTACAAGGATCTACATATAACCTCCTCCCTGGGGATGGACCACAGAAAAGTGGGTGAAGGGAGACATTGGATAGTGTAAGATATGACAAAATAATAAAAATTTATTAATTATGAAGGGTTCATAAGGGAGGAGGGAGAGGGGAGGGAGGGGGAAATGAGGAGTTGATATTAAGAGCGCAAGTAGAAAGCGAAAGTTGAGAATGATGATGGCAATGAATGTACAAGTGTGCTTCACCCAATGGATGGATGGATTGTGATGAGAATTGTATGATTCCCCCAATAAAATGATTTTTTTAAAGGTTTTTTTTTTTGTTTTGTGGGATTTTTATTTTGAATTTATTTTTGGTCTGTTTTGGTTGCTTTGAGAATTTTTGTGATTCTGGTAACTAAAAATTGATGATAGGAAATTCATTGAGCAAGTTTTGTTGCTAAAACTGTGGCAGTAAATTGGGAGAAGGGGAGATGTTTGCAACTAAAAGAAAAGAATAAAAACCAACATTCACAGCAAACAGTCATCTTTAGATAAGTATACAATATGCATGCTGATCCAAATTACCTGTGAATTAGAAATGCCATAATATTACCAAGTTACCATGGATGTGAGGACTTCTGAAGTTAGAATCTCCCATATTTTGACATTTTTCAATTTTATGCAAACATCTCTTGACCCCAACAAGGTGCTGGCTTCATAGGGGGCCAAAGTATTCCCTGGAGATCAGGTGGCTCAAAGAGCAGATCTTCCCATCTGCCTTTTAAGCAAGATGGAATCTAATGAAGACAATTTTATAGAGTGAATCCTAAGGGAGATGAGTCTTGAATTTACCAAAATAACCCAAAGAACAACATCTAGTTGAAACAGGGGCTTGTGAGAAGATCTGCCGGCTCAGGTAAATTCAAAGGAAAAGGATCTGGCTCAGAAGGTTATGGTGACTGATTTGAGGGATTTCAAAGAGTTAATTTTGGTAAAATGTTTAAAAGGGCACAGGATGATCCTGGGGTTGCTTATAAACAAGTGTTAAGAAGATAGAAAACTGCATTGGTGAGAGAGAAAAAAAGACCAAGAAATGCTTGCAGGGGATTTTCCGCCTGCCCCCAAACCCCAGCAAAACAATGCACCTGCTCATTCATTGAGAATAGGAAGCAAGGGCTATTCTGTGAGAATATAATTGTGAAACCTTACCACTTCCAGCCTACAGTTTTGGTATTGCCTCTTTAAACTTCTTTTTCTCCTTGGATGCAAATGAAATTGAAAATGACATGGTGTGAATCAAAGAGTGCAGAATTCTTCGGGAAAGGATTGGAGAGGTGGAAATATTGCCCTCAGGAGTGTATAGATCTAGGTGGAGGATCTGGGGAAAAACAACAGCTTCACAGGTTAATATTTTCAAATAAAGGTTGCAATGATTTGTAGTGATTTATTTGTACTCTTTTGTTTGTAATAATATTTGTACTTGAAGATATGTATCTGAAGATTTTATTTATATTCCTTGCTGTCTACTAGTTTAGCGAATGCATCTGAGTTTATCAATGTACCTGTGTATATTAATGAATATAAGCCAAACAATTTCTAATAGCAGGCTTTACACATGTGATGTCTCTTTAAGAATCAATTTATTTTCATTTTGGTAGTAAGCGTCCTTCAATATAATTATTGAGCTATTTGATAAATTGATTAATGCTCGATTAAAGCATATAGTCCTAATTAACACACATCCACACCGTTGAATCATATAGAATTGCCAACATTCAACTTTTAAACCTATGAGAAGGACACCTTGATATGACTAAGACGAATATGAAAATTTTAGTGAAGGTAAAACTATTTCCATGTTTTAACACATCCTAAGAGATCTGCTTTTAAGAAAACTAACCATTTCTGAAACATGGAATGTTTTGATTAAAATTTTCCAAAGCTAACCTGTCTTGAAAAATGACTTCCAATAATTTACTGAAATATTACAGTCATAGTCTATGCTTTAGAATAAAATAGAGGTAATTACAATTAGAGTTTTTAAAAAATAATATTGAAAAATGTGCATCTGACTTCAAAACTCTTCTGAGCAGTTCTTGGGAATTGCTTTTAAAAATTCTGATCCTTGGAAACAACTGTTTATTTGTTTCCTCTTTCCCAGCTCAGCGCTGACTTGAAGGAATCTCATTATTGTGCTCACTGGTAACTTTTCAAAACTTTCCTCTGAAGTCTTTTCCAGAAAACATCATTAAAGATTCAATACACAAATAAATCATCTCATTTGTTCCCAAGTGTGGTATGTGCATCTGCAATTCTAAATAAACTAAATATGATAGGACTTCAAAAGGAAAATGTGAAAGACATAGGACCAATTGGCCAATCTTAAAAATTCAGCTATGGTTGAAAGAGATAAGGAAAAACAAATACCTTTCCTTCCTTCCAGTAATTCATCTTCAAATCATGGTAATATGAACAGAGTATTTGTAAATGGAAAGAGGCATTAAAGCATCCATCAATAAATTCTCTTTTTTTTCTTTTCAAAGG